GGCTTTTACGACTCTGATGCCAATACAAAGTTTAACTGTTAGAACTTGGCTGGTGAAAATGGTGAAATGGTATGAGTTTAACGCCCCTATCAACACTATTAGGTTATTTAAGAGGCGGGACCTCCTAATTTAACGTCCGTCTCCGATAGGACCGAGCCAAGTGGGAAGTTCGTGTAAAGTGCCTTTCCCAAAGACACAACGTCGGACCGAGCTCAGGCTCGAACCCCTGAACCCGCAATCTCACGATTACGAGTCCGGTAGCCTAACCACTGGGCTACCGACGCCACTTAGAACTTGGCTTGCCAAAAGAGTTCTCTAGTGGATTACTCCTTTTTTTCTATTCAAACACCTATCGTCTTCTTCTTTTCTTTGTATGTTATTCTATAATAGTAATACCTCTAATCCTAGACGCTTATATGACCTATTTGTCTTGTAGGTGCCGAGTGGGCGGTTGTTGGATGCTCTAATGTGGTTTGCTCCTTCTTTTCTATCAAGCATATATCTTCCTTAAGCAAAAGTCTGTTGACTGGGACGTTGTATCCTTATAGGCCCGCCGGGGTTGGCCCTGATGCGGAGATTCAAAGCAACCTGCCGCTTGATTGATAGAAGTTATGTGAGCACAGCGTCAGACATGGAAAATCAACCAATTTGTTCTAGTAGAAGTTTTACGGCGCTGGCAACTGCATAAGGTCATATGAACGCCAGAAGATTAGAGGTGTTACAAGAGAGTAACAAACATAAAAAAGGAGGAGGGGAGATAAGGAGGATAGATGTTTGATAGGAAAAGAAGAAGCAAACCGCACCAGAGCACCCGCCAACTACCCACAATCAATCGATACATCTCCCACAAATACTGCTCATTTCAATCGAAGATGACACTTGGAGTCTGGGCTCCTGTCACTCCGAGCATGCGGAAGCTGAGAATAATGGATAAAGAGACGGACACAAACACACACAGACAATAGTTTGTCGAGCATCGAGAAGACAAAAAAAACAACAACCGAAAATGACAAAACAAAAAAGGAAGGAAAGATTGAGGGAGAGGCGGGAAAAAAAGTTTTGTAACAATCACATTCTTGGGCAGCGATCGTTTTACGCACGGGAGATTTAGACAAAAGCTAGACCTGAAAACGCATGACACAACTCTTTAACCCTATTCAGGCAGAAATGACAGCTCCAGAGATCATCTAAATGGGGGCTGGCTCGGCCCCAGGGGATAGACAGCCGGTTATGATACGGAAGATTGTTATAACTACACCCTCTTGACAATGCGGCCTGTCTAAAGTTTCCTGTCGTTTTTCAAGCGCTCGCTTCCTATACCCCCCTCCTCCCCCGCCCTC